AACTGATTGAAATAGCACAGTTTTACTCTGCTATTTCGGAAGGGCAAAAATGACAGCCACTAGAGGCATTTTAACCCCGAACCTTTGCCATTCTGCAAAACATCAGTGTTTTCAGCTGCAATGTTCAAATGGGGAGGGAGACATGGCACCAAGACCACTTCATTGAGAAGAAATGGTTTGGGTGTCTGTAGTGTCCCTTTAATTATTATTTTTTTTAAGTGCCAAAAATTGAGCCTTACAATTATTTTATAAAGATGCAAAACAATAGTTTAAATATATGATTTTATACCAATTTAATGCAAGAAAGTGCCTTATTAGCCATTGAAACATATGAGTGGCACTGCACATTGTTCCCTAGTCTAATGTCTATAATTATTCCGAAGTACTTCTCATGAACAATTATCCCCTATAGAGGGTATAATGCATGGGGTCTTCATACCAAAATAGGTACTTTTGAAATTATCTACATTGAATCTCATCTTCCACTTGTTCCAGCCTCCCAAAGTATGCAAATACTCCTGACGATAAATCATTTCATCCTAAAAATGGATTACTTTACCCAGTTTTGCATAATATGGGATTAAATTGGTAGAATTGCATAACATTAGACTTTAAATTTCTATACAGATACAATTTAATGTAAACTAAAATCCAATATGATTCATTTCCACAATTCAATTTTTCTGGGCACTATGTCTGCATCTTTTTGTTTGCTTTTGTATTTGTACATTAGCGTGACGCTGATGGCATTGTATGCATGCAGTACTGGCTTCAAAAACATACACACACCAAATTAAAGCATAAATGATGGAGCAATTCTATAATTTTAAATGAACTTTTAAGATGATTTAATACTATGAAAAGTATTTTAATTTTGCAATATTTTTAACTTTTTTTTGATATACAGATATATATTTTTCTTATAAATTATATTTTTTTTGCTACTTTAGTATGTTGAAAAAATGAATACTTTATCCAAAAATATTAAATAATGTGAAAAGCTTATCCAACAGTATTAAATCAGGGCCACAGTGTCTTATAACTTCACAAATGTTCTTTAACTAAGTCCTTTAACTAAGAGGCCTATAAAGAAGCCACTGTCATAGCCATGCAAGTGAGCACTTACGTATATAGTTCCTTTCATGAAAAACTCTGATTGGAGCTGTCACTAAGCTTATAAAAATAGAAACCAGTCATAGCCATTGGGCAGCTTAGGATGCAGTTTTGACCAGGTTTCTGCATGTTCTTAACTTTAATGTTTTTTAATTTGCTATAAGCAAAATCTAAAACCAATTTGCCCTGTAAGGAATGACAAGAGAATATCCATGCAGACACATTCTCTTTTACTAACAACCAAGGTTATTTGCTGTACCGTGTATTGTCAGGGATTGACCAAGGAGTTTTAAAATAAATGACAAAATAGCACATACAATCTGGAAGAATAGCTGATGATAAAAAGTCATGTATTTACAAATGTGCATGCCATTTTATACTCATGTTTGTTTTTTATTCTTTTTTTTTCCCACACATTTAAAACAACATTCTCTTTAAATATATTTCCTTCTATCTATGAAGTCTAGTTGAGGGAAGGAGAAAAATATGTAATTGTTATGATAATTAAATACTATAACCTATGATGCATAAATAGTTTTTCCTCAGGGTAAAAAAAGGAATATATTATAGTTTTTATATTGAATATATTTTTTAATTAAAAAAAAAAAAAAGAAAGAAAGAAATGCAGCTAACATTAATTAAACTTCCTAAAATGCAAATTTACCCCAATACATCTGGTGTTGGGAATGGTTTATGCGCACTGGAGGAATAGAGATTTTGCTCAGACTGGCGGGGTCACAATATTTTAATTTAAAGCTTGAGGAGAGAGGGCCAAATGTTAGAGGACAGACAACGTTTTAATTAATAAGTGACATATGCACAGTACATTGAAACCTGGTGTACATGAGTGGGTCTGTGCTCCACCAGCTTTTGTCAAAATAAATAATGGTAAGTGTGTGTTAGAAAACTTGTTATGCATGTCATGATTAATTTTAATATTATTAATAATGTTATGATTTTGAGGCATTTAAAGAAAAGTTTTTCATTAGGTTTTAGAAGAAGATACTTTTCATCTACTTTAGGATGACACCCATTATATATTCATGATTATTACTTTACACCTTCGTTTAAATAGGGGTACTCGTAAAACTTATTTTGGTTGTGGAAGACTATTTAAGACTACCACCTTGCATCATTAATTTTTTTGCATTTTTTTGTAATTATTTTCATATATTTTAAAATATCTGGCTGTCTAGATGGTCAATGTTCTCAACATTCAAACAGGGCTTTATGTTGCAGTGGTGCCGTGCCTCATATTGCCTACTATACCCAAATTTGTAATTGTGGATGCCTATGCAATGTGTCTTATTTTTACATGTATGCAATGTGTCTCTCCTTCTTCAAGACTATTTGAAAATGGTTTATCATGTAGTGTGGAGTCAGCACAAGGGTTTGTTACCGGATGCTACTAGCTGGTGATTGTATCAAAGGGGTTTTCTCAGTTTAAGCTATCCATTTGTTTAATTTTTATTAATAGCTATAACGATTTTATCCTTAAATGTTAAATGGCTTAATTTACCTTACCCGTGTAGATTATTCTGGAATGAAGAAATTAAGCAAAAAGCTTACCTGTTCACTAAAGAGCCATACTTCTAACACCTCTATGCATCCTTACATCAAGAACAACTCTAGAGAGCAATTTAATATGGTCTCCAGTACTATTAATCGACAAGAGGTTACTCTTGTGAATGTGTATTTTCCACAAGATATCTTAAATAACATTGCCCCCTTCAAAACCCTTGCCACATGTTTGTTGAGAATTCAATATGCTATTTGACACAGACATTGACTCCTCTAGCCCCATTCATTGTGATAGGGTGGTGCGAAGATGAAGCAAGAATTTTAGAAAGCTACTACACGAATATAAGTTATATAATGTATGGTGAAAACTAGATCTAACAGCAAGGGAATTATCATTTACTCACATACCAAAAAAACACTATAGCACTTATTACCAGTTAAAAAGCTTAATTTCCGACTCATCGCTAATCTCTTGCGTGAAATGATGAGACAGACACGTACAGAAGTAGCCACCACATCAGAAAATCCCAGACAAACAAGGCTCAGAACACAACGCACTTCTGGCACAGTGGGAGAAGGCACATTTTTCCGAACCTGTGTCTCATTATCCCCCTTTTAACCCATTAAGGACCAAACTTCTGGAATAAAAGGGAATCATGACATGTCACACATGTCATGTGTCCTCAAGGGGTTAAGGGGGTATATCTGCCGGATGAAGTACCTTCATAGTCTTCCTACGAATTGCCAGCTGATGAAGTCCTACATTTGAGTGGCAAAACGCGTCCCGGTGATAGTGAGAGTCTATTTGTTTGCCAAGCTTTTAATTGTTTTTGATAATTTTAAAATATATATTATTTTAATATATGTTTGGCATCTCATTCCTGCTATTGCAAAAGTCCCTAACCCACACACTGCGCTCTATATAGAGCAGAGAACTGGCTCTACCATTGTGAGTATCCATTTGTAAAATGGTTTTGGGGGTTCCTGTACATTGCTTTAATACACCTATGTCCGTGTCTCTATTGAATTACTATCTAGGATCCATCAAGAGGAATTCCAGCATAAAGAAGGGAATATATTTTACGGACACCTAAGCTGTTCCCACTAGAGCTAAGTGTTTTAGCTCATATAAGTGTATGTTCAGTTGTCTCCAAACATTTCACAATTAATCTACATGGTAACACACCATTGTATTTATCTTTATTTCTTAAAGGTACAAAGGTCCTTTTAACTTTCCCATTGATGTAAAGAAATATTTCTTAAGGAATTTTGTTGTTTCACATGTCAAATACTTTTTAACTAGTAATAAGCGCTACACTGTTTTTTTGGTTTGTGGTTTATTGACGAGGTGTGTATAAGAGGATAACACATCACAGTGTGATAGCAGCTAAATTGTTAAAAACTTGGTATTCACATTTGTATAGAAGTTTACAATAAGTGCAAGTACACGTTATTTTCATTTACTCACATGCTTATAGCACATACAGTAGGACTGATTTTTTTTACTCATTATTCATTACTCATGATGGTTAAGTCTTTCTCCTATGGTGTGACAGATCATAGCCCTTTCTTGCTAGAGATAAACTAAAAAAATAAATAAATAAAAATCTAATATTTACAGGATCGTGAATCAACAGTTCTATTTTGTAGTCAGATTTTATTTGTGATTTTCTCCAGTCTATTTTACAGACATATTTTAGGGAAAATTACACCATGGATGCTCACCTGAGACTTTATGGCTCACACATAAGGTTCTAATTAGGCATTGATTCACAGTTCATGCCACCAGAGTACATAGGAAGAAGTCGATAGACCTAGCAATCCAGTTACAGGCTTTAGAATCCCTGCAGAGGTGTCATCCAATGTATGATTTATTACATGTCCTAAACAGACAGGGTCGTCTTTAACAAGGGGCAAACGGGGCAGCTGCCCCGGGCCCAATAACTCTTGGGGGGCCCAAAGCAGCTGCCCTGTGGGCCCCCTGCCCGCAGCCAGGACTGAACAGCCCACCGGGATACTGAGAAATCTTCCGGTGGGCTGCGGCAAGTGAAGTAATCAGGGGCCCCCGGCCCTTTAAGAGAGCACCTGACCGGGCCCCTGTCTTCCTGCCTGCTGGGAGGAAGTGAGGTGAGATCACTTCCTCCCAAGTAACAGAGTGCCGCTGGGGAGGAGGAGACACACATGGAATTGGAGGAGAGGGAGGATGCACACAGGAGGAGGAGGTGGAGGAGAGGGACTGAGGTAAACATGTTCATCAGACTCCCATCAACCTCAGCCATCCAGCTTCCACTGGACCCCAGGGAAGCCACCCTTCTCTAAAGGTAAGGAGACAAGAGGGTGGCTAGACTTAAATTGATATAAATGTGTGTATATCTGACTATGTGTGTGTGTATCTGACTATGTGTGTGTGTATCTGACTATGTGTGTATATCTGACTGTGTGTGTGTATCTGACTGTGTGTGTGTATCTGACTGTGTGTGTGTGTATCTGACTGTGTGTGTGTGTATCTGACTGTGTGTGTATATCTGACTGTGTGTGTATATCTGACTATGTGTGTGTATCTGACTGTGTGTGTGTATCTGACTATGTGTGTGTATCTGACTGTGTGTGTGTGTATCTGACTATGTGTGTGTATCTGACTGTGTGTGTATATCTGACTGTGTGTGTATATCTGACTATGTGTGTATCTGACTATGTGTGTGTATCTGACTGTATGTGTGTGTATCTGACTGTGTGTGTATATCTGACTGTATGTGTGTGTATCTGACTGTGTGTGTATATCTGACTGTGTGTGTATATCTGACTATGTGTGTGTATCTGACTGTATGTGTGTGTATCTGACTGTGTGTGTGTATCTGACTGTGTGTGTATATCTGACTGTGTGTGTGTATCTGACTGTGTGTGTATATCTGACTATGTGTGTATATCTGACTATGTGTGTGTATCTGACTGTGTGTGTATCTGACTGTGTGTGTATATCTGACTGTGTGTGTATATCTGACTGTGTGTGTGTATCTGACTGTGTGTGTGTATCTGACTATGTGTGTGTGTCTGACTGTATGTGTGTATATCTGACTATGTGTGTGTATCTGACTATGTGTGTGTATCTGACTATGCGTGTGTATCTGACTGTGTGTGTGTATCTGACTTTATGCGTGTGCATCTGACTGTGTGTGTGTATCTGACTGTGTGTGTGTATCTGACTATGTGTGTGTATCTGACTTTATGCGTGTGCATCTGACTATGTGTGTGTATCTGTATGTGTGTGCGTTTGTATCTGGCTGTATGTGTGTATCTGGCTGTGTTTGTGTCAGTGTGTGTGTATCTGACTGTGTGTGTGTATCTGACTATGTGTGTGTATCTGACTTTATGCGTGTGCATCTGACTATGTGTGTGTATCTGTATGTGTGTGTGTTTGTATCTGGCTGTATGTGTGTATCTGGCTATGTGAGTGTCAGTGTGTGTGTATCTGGCTGTGTTTGTGTCAGTGTGTGTGTATCTGGCTGTGTCAGTGTATGTGTACCTTTGTGTCAGTGTTTATGTGTATCTATGTGGATGTATACCTGTGCCCGTGTACTTGTGTGTCAGTTTGTATGTGTACCTGCGTGTCTGTGTATGTGTATCTGTGTATGTATGAGTGTCAGTTTGTGTAAGTGTGTATTTATGCGTGTGGCAATGCATACGTTCCATCATTCCAGTACCAACACTGCACACATATACACTACTACATTCCAACGCTAACACTGCACTCAAATACACCACTGCATGTGTATCTGTGTTCCTGTGTGTATCTCAGTGTTTGTGTAAATGTGCATCTGTGTGGCAATGCATACATCCCAGCATTCCTTCGCCAACACTGCACACAAATACACCCCTGCATGTATATCCGTGTGTCTGTGTGCATCTTAATGTGTGTATATATCTGTGTCAGTGTGTGTAAGTGTGTATCTCTGTGTGTGGATGTGCCAGTGTTTTTATCTCTGTATCTGTGTGTGTGTGTGTGTGTGTGTGTATGTATGTACGTGTCTGTGTGTGTATACACCAGTCTGTTTGTATCAGTCTGTGCATGTGTCCAGATGTGTGCATGTATCAGTGTGCTAATGTGTATGGATATCTGTGAATGTATGTCATACATCCAAGCAATCAAACACAACATGCAAACACACCCCTGCAAACACAAACATTACATACAAACACGCCCCTGAATTCAAACTCAAAAAGTATATAGAAACACACCCCTTCACTCTAACACCAATACTACACCGTACATGCACACACATACTCTATACAACAACATGCTCACATTCAAATTTACAAACACTGCTCACAAATACAGCCCTGCAAGAATGGCCAAATAGTAGATCCCCAGCTGGCATAGCATTGTGGGAATTGTACAACAGACGAGGAGCTATCTTTTCTCCATTATTGTGCTAGATGGGAGGCCCAAAAAAATGTCTTGCACCTGGGCCTTCTCTACATTAGTTATGCCACTGTATTGGGGTGGAGGGCATAACTGCATGCCAGGGGGTGGAAATGTGTGGAGGGGAAGGGCAGGATCCAGGGGGCCCAAGCAAATGCTTGCCCAGTGTCCAATCAATGTTAAAGACAGCCCTGTAAACAGATTAGAAATTATATTAATGCTATTCATCTTGAAGATTGAGTTTATGCTCAGGAGATTAAAAAACAATTATTACTCTAAGGGAAACACAGGAAACAAACAGCAATGTCAGCTATACCATATTTAATAGGTGATATTGGCCAACATGTGTACACTCCAGCACACATTGCTAACTTACATTCTTGATTGTTTAGAGACCTATATAACTCAAAATATTGTTTGCACATATATCATCTTAGTTCAGATGACATTAGAACATTTCCCTTCCAAACATCACACCTCTTCAAAGGCTCTTGTTAAACCAATAACTGCTGATGAGATAATGAACGCTATACAAATCCCTGAGACCAGAAGGCTATACATCCACATATTATAAGAAAAAGAGCAGTTTCCTGATTCCCTGTTTACTCTCTTTAGTGGTTGTATGACTTTGGGTTCTTTACCACATAAAATGTTTTCTGCCTTTATAGTTACTTTAACAAAGCCTTGTCATCCACCAAACAGGTATACAAATTTACACCCTATATCACTTTTACATAGAGAGATACACGAGTATTTATGCAAAAATATTGACCACTCAGATCTCGGATGTATTACCAGTACTATTACACTACAATCAGGTGGTCTTCATTAAGAGCAGGCAGTCATCTGACACTACATAACAGGTTTGGGATCTAATAGACATGGTGTCAGGTGCCTTTTCTTGTCTCTTGAGGTGGAGACGGCATTTGACCACTTAAATTGGATAGATATGGAAAATTGCAGTTTTACAATTCCCAGATTCTTTTATAAAAGCTATTAGGTTTTTGATAATGTAGATTTAGTCGCTGTTACTGAGACATGGTATAATGAGAAAAATTACTGGGACATAGCAATACTAGGGTACTCTTTATTTAGAAAAGACAGGGAAGGCAAGAAAGGGGGAATCTAGCCTAATAAAAGTTAGTGAGGCGAACATAGGGTCCGCTTGGGTTACGTTAGAATTTGGTACTCACACAGTAACTTGTGTAGGTGTGATTTATAGGCCCCCAGGACATATAGAAGAGTTAGATAATCAACTAGTTGAGAAAATAGCTAAAATGACAATGAAGGGGGAAGTTATCATCATGAGTGACTTAAATCTTCCTGATGTGAATTGGAAAACAAAATTAGCTACTTGTGTCAGGAGCACATATATTCTAAACTCCCTACTGGGATTGTCTCTAAAACAAGTCATTGAGGAGCCAACTCGTAAGGAGGCATACTAGATTTAGTGTTAACAAATGGAGATTTGGTATCAGATATTACTGTAGGTGAAAGTTTAGGATCCAATGATCATCAGTCAGTGTGGTTTAATATAAGAACAGTGACTGAGTCACACCACACAAAAACAAATGTTTTAGACTTTAAAAAAACAGACTTTTTTAAAATTAGAATATATGTAAAGGAGTCATTATCAAATTGGAGCAATTTAAATAGAGTCCAAGAGAAATGGGATTATTTAAAAGTTGCACTGCTGAAGGCAACAGAAAATTGCATTAGGCATGTCAGTAAAAGCAAAAAATTCAAGAAACCACTTTGGTACTCCACAGATGTGGCCGAAATAGTAAAAAACTAAAAGTTAGCATTTAGTAATTATAAAAAAAAAACAGAGTGAGGAAGACAGAATGATCTATAAGATTAGGCAGAAAGAGGCTAAGCAAGTTATAAGAGATTCCAAATCTCACACAGAAGAGAAAATAGCAGTCAGTAAAAAAAAAAATAATAACAAAAAGGGACAAAACATTAGATACATAAATGAGAAAAGGAAAGTAAAACAAGGATTAGTTAGATTAAAAACAAAAGAAGGAAGGTATGTAGAAGAGGATAACGGTCTAGCTGACTGCCTCAATTAATATTTTTGTTCAGTATTTACAGATGAAAATGAAGGAAATGGACCTCAGTTAATAAAAAGGACAAATTAACCATTTATTACATGTGAGTTTACAGAGGAAGAGGTTTTATTTCAACTGTCAAAAGTAAAGACAAATAAGTCAATGGGACTGGAAGAATATACCCAAAGTTATTAAAAGAGCTTAGTGGTGTACTAGCAAAACCATTAACAGAGTTATTTAACCAATCATTGTTAACAGGAGTAGTCCCAGAAGATTGGAAGTTAGCGAATGTTGTGCCCATCCACAAGAAACATAGTAAGGAGGAGTCGGGCAACTATAGGCCAGTAAGCGTTACTTCAGTAGTGGGGAAAGTAATGGAAACCATGTTAAAGGATAGGATTGTTAAACATCTAAAATAACATGGATTACAAGATCAGAGACAACATGGGCTTACTTCAGGGAGGTAATGCCAAACTAATCTTATTGATTTTTTTGATTGGGTAACTAAAATAATAGATCATGGTGGTGCAGTAGACATTGCTTACCTAGATTTCAGTAAGGCTTTTGACACTGTTGCACATAGAAGGTTTATCAATAAACTGCAACCTTTAAGTTTGGATTCCAATATTGTTGAATGGGTAAGGCAGTGGCTGAGTGACAGGCAACAGAGGGTTGTAGTCAATGGAGTATATTCCAAGCTTGGGCTTGTCACCAATGGGGTAACTGTACTTGGACCCATTCTCTTTAATATTTTTATTAGTAATAGTGCAGAAGGTTTTGATGGTAAAGGTATGTCTTTTTGCTGATGATACTAAGATATGTAACAGGGTTGATGTTCCAGGAGGGATAAGCCAAATGGCAAATGATTTAGGTAAACTAGAAAAATGGTCAGAATTGTGGCAACTGACATTTAATGTGGATAAGTGCAAGATAATGCATCTTGGACGTAAAAACCCAAGGGCAGAGTACAGAATATTTGATAGCGTCCTAACCTCAACATCTGAGGAAAGGGATTTAGGGGTCATTATTTCTGATGACTTAAAGGTAAGCAGACAAGTATTAGAGCAGCAGGAAATGCTAGCAGAATGCTTGGTTGTATAGGGAGAGGTATTAGCAGTAGAAAGAGGGAAGTGCTCATGCCATTGTACAGAACACTGGTGAGACCTCACTTGGAGTATTGTACGCAGTACTGGAGACCATATCTTCAGATGGATATTGATACTTTAGAGAGAGTTCGGAGAAGGGCTGCTAAACTGGTTCATGGATTGCAGGATAAAACTTACCAGGAAAAGTTAAAGGATCTTAACATGTATAGCTTGGAGGAAAGAAGAGACGGGGGGATATGATAGAAACATTTAAATACATAAAGGGAATCAACACAATAAAGGAGGAGACCATATTAAAAGATGAAAAGCTGCCACCACAAGAGAACATAGTCTTAAATTAGAGGGGCAAAGGTTTAAATGCATGGAATAGCCTTCCAGCTGAATTGGTAGAGGTTAACACAGTAAAGGAGTTTAAGCATGCATGGGATAGGCATAAGGCTATCCCAACTATAATATAAGGCCAAGGACTAATGAAAGTATTTAGAAATTTGGGCACTAGATAGGCTAGGGAGTGAAGTTAGGGGAAGTATTGTAAGGGGAAGAAGAAAGATGACAAATCTCTTCTCTGATTGTAGAGATCTTGTCAGTGAAGTGAGTTGCAAAGTCTGAGGCGGTCAAGTTAGTAGGTGGAGGAGGAACAGCAGGGCGAAGAAGAGCGTTAAATGTGTGAAATAGTCGTTTGGGTTCGCGGGAGAGTGTGGTTATGAGGGTATTACAGTAATTAACTTTTGCAGAGGAAAGAGCCAAGCTGTATGAGCTCAGTATAAATTTATAGTGGAGAATGTCAGATGCACAGTGAGACTTTCTCCAACAGCGTTCAGCAGTTCTGGAGCATTTTTGGAGGTATCGAGTGAGCTTGGTGTGCCAGGGTTGTTGTTGGGGGACCTGCAGCGTTTAAATGTACAAGGTGCCATGATGTCTAGTTGAGAGGAGAGGGTGGAATTGTAGAAGGAGTTTGCAGAACTAGGACAGGTGAGGTTTGAGATAGGTAAAAGGAGAGTTTGGAGATTAATGGAGAAATGCTCTAGGTCAAGACATTTGAGGTTTCTGTGAGAGTGATGTTCAGACGGTGGTGTCAATTGGGTTTTAGGTATGCCAATGTCAAAAGTCAG